TCTAGCTTCGCCCCAAAAAAAAAAAAAAAAAAAAAAAAAGAAAAAGAAAAAAAAGATTTCGCGTGCGTTCGCGGGCGTACGTGCGTTGCGCCGCGATGCACAACCCGCGGCGAGCTAGTCTACTACTGAGTGCTCCGTAGAACTAGCCACAAAAAAGACCTCCCTTTTCCCGTGAATCATGCGTCTGGGTCGGGAAAAGAAGCTCTGCACTAATTCACACTTACCCTTTTCCTCTATCGCACAGGTAGATTGGAGGCCTTTGGCCCGCCCGCTTTACCCTATTCTGATTGACGCACAGGAGTGCAGAGGGTGGTGGGCGCTAGTTGATTGCACTTTTAGAAAGGAAGGGATGCGCGGGAGCAGGGAGAGGGGGAGGGGCACTGCAGAGGGGGCTCAGGGAGTGACAGACAGACGGTGTTTGGCTGGGCTCGTGTCACGTGAGTTGATATTGTGGTTAGTGGTATATAACGAACGTCTGGGTGATATTGCAGAGGAGTGGGGGGAGATGATGTCTTGGAGTCATTCGTAGATCATGAGAATGATTCTCGTCTTGGGGACGGTTCGATAATTTGAAGCATTGTGAGACGAAGCGGCGGAAGGCTGACATTCTTAGTTCTGCTCAGAAACCCTGGACTTGAAGTTGATAACTAGTCCTTGAAGCCAGCAGACAACCACTAGCCAGCATGTTTTTACTTGTTCGAGGAGCTGTATTTCCTTATTGTCGGGACTCGCCCCATCAGAAAACCAGCCTCGGAAGCATATCGATAGTGTCGATACTCCGCGACCAAGTCATGCAGATTGCTTGCGGCCTTGACGAAGTCCAGTTCCTCCATTCCCTCCCCGATATACCAATGCAGAACCGCTTTGAAATGGAAAAGTCGAGCAAAAGCATGGTCCACTCGGTCGAGGATTTCCTGGATTGCCGTCGAGTTGCCATGCAAAGTCGCTGACACCCGGGGACACTGCGCTGGTACGGAGCAGAGGGCTGTCTGCACGTTGTCCAGGAGTCATTCGACAAAGGACTCGAGCGTTGTTGATTTAGATGTGCTTCATCTGATCCTCGATTTCTCGCATGGAGATCCGTCCCCGACTAACTAGAGAGCTCAGGATTTGATCTGATTTCTTGGTTTGGCAATCCCAAGCACTTACACTGAAGCAGAGCATGTCAGAAGGCAGCCACGGTTGAGATCACAAGAGCTATCATGTTGTTCGAACCCAGCATCTGTTGCGTAAGATCTGAGAATGTGACTGACCGGAATGAGTGCACCCGTGGCTAGTGAATGACGCAATGACCGTCATGAAGAAGCGCAAATGAGAAGAGGGACCCTATTCACGAGTTTGCACATATCCGAGTTTAGCTCGCCTGGAAAGCGAAGGCATGCCGAGACTCCAGACATGACTGTCGAAACCAAGTAGTTGAGAACAAGGTGCGTGGGGTAACGTAGCCTTGAAGTGCGCACGCAAGTATCTTAGGGCCCTCATGCCAGTTAGTCATCCAGCGGCAGCGAAGGGATTATCTGTCTCACATTGTTGTCCAGGCAGAAGGTCTCATCTGCTTGATAAATCCAGTGCTTCGTCGAGAGCATGGCCTTGTAAGGTCCAGCGATGGCATCGGAGACTTTAGCAGAGGGCATTACCGAGAACGTGGTCATCATTCAATCGGGGAACTCTTCTTTGATTTTTCAGATCAAAAGAGTGTCCATGCTGGACTGTGTACCGCTACCTAGCAATTGGGCGATCTGGAAATCTTGAATGCAATCGGGTATCCCTGCTTCTCTCCGAGTAGCATCAGTTCTTGATCTACCAAGTCGGCAGCTTCAGTATAGTACCCTTGAAACAGTTGTTGCTCGTTCCACGTCGCACAAATACGGAATTGTCAGGTGTATAGAGAGGACCAACAGGAACCGGGTCAAATTGCATCCATGGTCCCTGGTTCCAGGTTCGCAAGGACACAGCATGGACCGCAGTTTCTGTTTCTCACTTCATTGAGATCGACATTCATTCTGTCCAGTTGCAAATTGGATGAACCCATGTAACTAGCTTCTTCGTCTTCTTAGTAGAGAATTCATTGAAATATAGGACAAGCACGGTTACTCACACGCCAGATGTTCTGCAAGACAGTCAGTACGAAAGGGCCCACGGGACTACATTCACTATTGGACTTAACAGCAAGATATACCAATATGATTTCCCTGAGAGATATATGCAAATAATTTCGGTATTATAAACTCCCATTTGATCGACTTCAGACAGTCCAGTCTGTTGGTAAATCTAGGTGTCGGATGGCCATATATCAGTGAGAGCCTCAAGGGAAAGCCTTTGTACAATAGGAACGCCCATAATTCGGCGCATGTTGTCTAGGCATCGAAATAAAGCTTGGTCACTATATTCTAGGTGTCATTCCTTGTAAAGCCTGCTGCCTGTCGACTCCAAGAACATTTGGTGAGCAGAGAAGTATAAGAAAGACCAGCAGTCTCCGATGCTGAAAGTGGCCGGCGCATACCAACTAACTCGCTAGCAAGTAAAAGAAAAGGCGATTATTCACGGGTTCTTGCATAGTAGTGCGTGTTGTCGAAAGATCTAGCACAAAGTCAAGGCATTAGAACCGCTATCTCTTGTGGGTCTCAGCATCGTTGCCAATGGTAGTCCACCGCTCCTTCATACTGTCGTACAATCACGAGTGGCGTCACTTGTCAGCTAAGACAGAGCCAATAGTTGACTTGGTGAGCCACCGCAAGGTCACGCCTGAATTTTGCGCCTGCCATTCAATTGATTCCTGCGCATGTGTTACCGCCATACCTGGGCGGCCGGAGGTTGAAGTCAATGATGGTGGAGACGCGCGGAGGCGAGCGACCGACAAAGGGCCTCAAGCTGAAAGAATGCTGAGATTCTGGGCTTGGCTGCTATGGGTGGTCACGGGCAGAGCATTTGTTTCAGTAAGCGATCTTCTTTGACTGTGTAGTACTCCGTAGCACGCAATGACCATTGAGGTTGGGGTGAGCAGTCGCTGCCTGCAACGGGCTGCGAGTCGGAATTATCGGCTCACACTCTCTCGCACCGACAAGGTCCTTGAGGAAGTTCTCTGTCTAGTGAATAGAATTGAGGTATTCATCGAGAGAGTAGGAGGCATAACCTATTGTTTCTCAAGTTGAGGTTGACAGATCAAGGTGGCGGCAGCGCCAACTCGTGAGACGGCCCGCGCCCCTTCCCTCCCCCCACAGCGCGCTGGCCCGCTTGCCGATCAGGCGCTACTTGGTTAGTGACCAAATGCGCCATGTCAGCTTTCGTTCATTCAATCTACCCCAAAGCCAGATTTACAATCACTTCCTCAATGGCAGAGCAAAAGAGACAGAGACAGAGACAATTTCGTCACAGGTCCCAAAACGGATGTCGAACTTGTCGGTCTGTAGCCACCCCTCAAAAACTGAAACCAAATGCGCCCCCCGCTCGCTTTCACTAATCCACAGCCATTACGATCTGTAGAGCTAGACATGTCAAATGTGATGAGACACCGGGCGTGTGCAATCAATGCACCTCCACTGGACGCCACTGCGAATACGATGCTAGCCGGCTGCCACGCATTTCCGGAGCAATTGCAAGGGCCATCTGGCCACAATCCGTTGTACAGGTCGCCCCCACTGCCCGACCGGATACCAGTACCGACGAACAACGATGCTTTAGCATTTTCTTCCACCAAACGGCGCCCAGGATGGCCGATTGGTTCAATTTGGAAGCATGGCAGCGGATAGTCCTGCAGATCAGCCTTGCGGAGCCGGCCGCCTACCACGCCGCCGTGGCTCTGAGTGCGCTTCACGAGGATGTTGAGATGCGCGGTCTTTGCCGCGCTGGCAAGTAGGGTATGCATGATTCGCATTATCGCTTTGCATTCGCGCAATATGGCAAAGCGATGGTCATGCTTCGGCGACGCTTGGCGTCGAATGATCCTCACGTCCGGATGGTAGCCTTGATATGCTGTATCACCTTCATCTGCGTCGAGCTGCTCCATGGCAGCTACAAGAGCGCGAGCGTGCATCTGCGGAGGGGAGTGCAACTTGTGGAGCAGCGTGATGGGTACTGGAGACATCATCCGAGACAAGGTTCGCACCCTACGGCACAGCTCCGCTATGGATCTGCGACTGAGGCTGCTTTGGTCCAAGCCTTCATGGTGCTCGATGTTCAAATAACACAATACGAACAATCAGATCCCCTGACGCTTGAGCAATCGACAGACCAGGATGCTTACCCGTCTGAGACCCGAAGCCACGGCAGCCTGATGCATAAGAAATCGACAGACCAGGATACCTCCCTGACTAGGTTCAACAGCCTTGGCAGCAATGCATTCGGAAGCCTCTTAGAGGCTAGACAACGAATCAACATCATCATGAGCAAGGTATCTCACTTCCGTGGCTCCTGCAACGCTCTTTTGCACGACAACACAGGTGAACAGGCCGTGATGCAGCGAGTTACAGCACAGCAGGCCATCATGCTAGCTCGATTGAGCGAGTTTGCAGCATCTTTCGAAGAGCTTGTGGCGCGTCATGACCCTGGCTCATTAAGTGAGGAGGAGAGCCGTAATATCGCCCTGTTGCGCCTACAACATTTGTCATTGGTAAATCTGGTGGTTCAAAACCTGGCCGCACTGAAGGTCGTTTCCAATCACGATCCCACAAAGTGAAGAGCAGAGTAACGGGCTCATTGAAATCTGTTATGCCGAGCCTCAAAGCCGCTGTCAGAGACAGAAATGATTTTGAGCTGGTAGCTAACTGGTATATCGGACGAGTTCGGCAAAGAAAGGGAAGCAACCATGATCTATAGAGTAGTCAGTACATTTGATAGAATGAGTAGATAATGTCGACCAGTGTACATACTTGTGGAAAACCTTACCCATTTGAGATACCTGAGCAGCTTTCAATCTCAGGGGCGCTTCTACTACTGAGTATAGGCAGACCTACGCAACCACACAATGTCCGGCGCAGTCTACATCAATCAAAGATTGTATGAGCACTGGCCCACAAATGACATAGTTGTTGGCTGACCGCACAAGAGAATTTTCCAGCACGGATAAATCACCCAGTAACACGGGGATTGACTTCCACTGTGTGTGACCGATGATTGGACATAGATATGGTGAAGAACTGATTTCTGTCGGCTCCACGACCGCAGTTGAAGGGGTGGTGACTCTACCACAGTTCGGTGACAACCATTATATGAAGTCGATTAAGTGATTGCCGCAGTCCGATGCCAGCTGTAATATGCCCTTAATCAGAAGAAATAGCGTCTAGTTGTCTATATGCCGCAGCTCCCGATCACACGCCCACAAGCTTTGAACTCAAGCCTCACTCTGACCGTGCAGGAGGTGTGGTACTGGAACCGATCCGCAAAGGTCGAGTCACTCGCCCAGATTTCCGCGCCTTTTCGGCCGTTGACGCTCTGGTCCAGAGTCAGGGCTGCAGATGCCGGCCATATAACCGCCCCTTCTGGAATGACTGGCGCAGGCATCGCCTCTCCCAAGCTGGGGATAGCGGGCAGAGACAGCGTGACTACTCCGAGACAGGACTTCAGGCCCAAATCTGATAGCACCAGACTAAAGAGCATGACCATCTCAGCCCCGACCCCTTCTCCAGATCATGTACCATGGCTTGGACATTCAACCTATAGACCTGCCCTGAACCCAAGGGACAGATGTTACTCTGCGGAACGTACCTGTCGTACACTGGTTAAATATTGATTCTCGCGAGCCCATTCAACGCCGTGGTCTGCGGCCAGATACTTACAGCACAACAACACTCCCACCAACAAATTGATTGCGGGTCCCTGCTTTGCAGACTAACCCTTCCGCGGCCGTTGGCTCGAGTGGGTCGGCGCTGGGCGTTTCAGCGATCTTCAGGGACTACTAGAGCAGGGAGGAAAACGGGACGTGATGTTGCAGATTTTCCATCTGCGGAGACGAATCTGTCGTGGGAATGATTAAGAAGTGAAAGAAGGACTACTGTAGGCAGATTTGTTTCACCGCTTGTAAATGAGGAGGACTGGATAGGGGATCCAGTCATGTGCCCGCCACCTAAAGTAAAAAGGTAGTAGTCTATGTATATCTCTAGGTAACCAAGTATCCGTCCTATCTGGCTCCACCGGGGCAAATCAATCAGGGTCATCTCAAAACATATAATCTCAATTCTGATCCATCCTGATGGGCAGAAATCTGGCAGGGTGGGCATAAGTTGGCTGGCATCTGTCTCAACATGAACGAAAAGGCCGGGGTTACCGCCCGAAAAAAAAAAAAAAAACGAGGTCACTCGATCTTGCAATAGAGGTCTTGATTAGCTCGTGTTTTGAATAAGGCCATGCGCAAATCCTGGAAGCTGGTTGTGCATGGACCCAGTCGGCGTGCAGATGAGCCTGGGCTATACTATAGTTGTCTGCTGTGACAGGTGAGACAGCAGGTTGTGCAAAATGGTGGAATCGATAGCAAGTAGGGTTGACCTCATAGACAATGTCGGCAATGCTACAATGACTACAATGGCTACAGAAACCGTGGGTGTTCATGTACAGGAGTTTGCAAGGTGAATTTGAGATGATTCTTAGATTCAACGTTATCATCGTGACTAGTCACCGGACTGACCGATCCCATCGCAATTCTCAACCTCAACGCAGGATTGAAAAGAAGTCACCCGTGACATGTAAAAAATCCCACCCATACTGTATAGTAATGCACCTCTTTGTACAACGCCGATTCTGTGCAGATGAGACCGAAAACAACACCATAAACCCGGTCGAATGAGAAAAAGAAACAATGTCGTGGAGCGGGGGGGCATGACCATTTCAATCTGAATAGCTCAACTGGGCGCAAAATGCTAAATCATGTACAAGAAACAAGGGATATAAGGCAGGCGTGAGGAAATTGATGCTGGCGACAACACAACGAGATGACAACAGCTTGAGAAGATCAAAGATGATCGTGAGAGAGATGTATCTCAACCATTGGCTGCTTAAGCTGTGAAAACTCGGTCAAGTTGTCGGAGAGCTCGCATATCTTCTCCACCAAATCCGATTTTTTCGCTAGGGATATCCTTGGGCCCCTCCGCCCGTCCTGTTGCCGGAACTGGAGGAGCGGTGATTGAGGGTAATCCACCAGACGGTGCGCCGTTCATTAGTGCGCCAATGCTGGGCACAGCAATGCCGGAGCTACTAGGCTCGAGAGGCTTGGAGACCACCGCAGTCGGAGGAGGAATATGAATGGCGTTCGATGGAGGCTGGTTCAGAAGCCGGGGGCTCCGCACAGCCGGGCCAAGGCCGTTGCTGTGCGATAGAGGATGTGGTTGCGTGCGCGGAGATGCCCGTCTAATATCTGCGTGGTGTGCGAGCTCTGACGGGCTTCTGTGCAGCATCTCGTGCGCTTCGACTGGTGTGCGTGGCGACCGACTTGCAAGCATCTGTACAGACGATGGGGGCAAGGCCGGAGGCATCGCGACCTCAACCGCATGAATCGGTCGCTCGTGAGGCGTTTGCAAACCAGGAGGCTGCGGAGGTGGCGGTAGAGGAGTTCCAGGAGGTAGGGACGCAGGATGATGATGATGATGATGAGAGTATGCGACATGAGCACCGGCCGGGACTGGAGGTAGATATGAGGGGTAGTGATGAACCGGAACAGGCGGGGTGGCTAGGGGAGTTGGTGGCCACGTATACGACGTCGTGTATGGGGGAGCATGCGTAGCAGCGGCGCGAGCATACGGTCCCATCGGATGAGGAGGCACGTAGGCTGCACCGGCCATGGGGCCGCGAGTCACAACAGGAAGATTTTGCTGATCGTTGACCGTAGATTCTGGGTAGAGTCCCTTCTGGGGTCGAACATGTCGCAAGGCCGGGTCCGTTGAAGGCTGCTGGAGATTGGCAGCAGACGGGTGCGATCTTGAGTAATAGCTGATGAGATGGAGATGCTGTCCGGTCGAGGTGGTGATACTGAACGACTGCTTCATCAATCCGTCGGGCTTATATCGGTAGCCATCGGGTCCTTCGTCCACGCCGTCCGCCCGATCGTCGTCGCTGCCTCGTGCACTATCTGGGGTCTTGCCCCCTCTTGACATCGTCGTTTGGGCCACGCCTGTTCCTCCTCGCTTGCCCTCCATTTCGCGATAAGTCAAAAAGCTGCCAGAGACCCGGCTCGCGCTCCAAGATTTCCCATCGGTCCATCTTCGCATGCCCGCCTCCCTTTCATCCCAGACAAAAACTGACCCGGAGCGGATCAACTGACGTTCTTTTTCCGACAGTCGTCTTTGTACTCGGGGGAGAAGGCCAATGCGACAAGCTTCGAAGAGGATGATGGCGTCCGCTGGGGTGCGGACGTGGCCGTGATACGTCTCCATCCACCTTCGGTGATCTGTGTAGGTCCCCGTGATGACGGTTGGTTTGAGCGCCAGGGCTGGATGATTCGTATGGTACAGAATATTGAAAGCTGAGCTGAAGACGGAGCTAAATGATGATGATTCCTCTAACCGCTGAGGGGCGTTGGTTTCTGCGCAGTGCTTCCCTGTGTGGTTGAGAATCAATCACGGTAGCTGAGCAATGATACTTTATTTCCCGATTAGGAAACTGATGCAGGCCGGGCGGTATCGACTTTGATCTTGCCACAGCATCCACCGAGAGTGAACGAGGATCTAGTGGTACGTAGAAACGAGGTTAACTTGCTATGTATGTATATTAGAGAGGGAATGAGAGGGTTGAGGGGATAGTGTAGAGGGGGATGGAATGTAGATGGAACCAAGGCAGCAAGGAAGGGGAGAGAAAGTAGGGAGTGGAGATGGGCACAACTGATAGGAGAATAAAGAAGGAATGCAGTCGAGCGGACCGAATCAAGCGTAAAGTTATACAAAGGATGCTGAGACAAAGAGGCTACATGATAATGCAACGAGCGGGTTCACCAATTCAATCACTTACAGTGGGAACAACTGCGGGTTTGAGTGTTGCTGCTGCAATCACAGGCAGTATCGGAGATGGTATGGTGAGAGAGATGGTGGGTTGGTTGTAGGAAGGGTAGATGGTGGTAGGAGAGAAGAAAGGAATAGGCAGAGAAATACTGGAAAAATGATTATTATAATCCGAATGGTAATCAAGTTCAAATAAAATAAAATAAAATCCGAGGGGGGAAAAAGAAATGGAAAATAAAATAAAAATAATCAAGTGAAGAATTAGCATCAAAGATAGGGTGGGGAACCAACCTAACTTTGAACCCCACAGGGTCAAGCAGTTGTGTTTTGGTTTATTGACTGAGATGAAATATTATTGTTCGAAAATCTGGGTCGGATGTAATTGCGTGTTCGCATGAGCGTCGGCTATAGCCAAATACACATTAGTAATCTAGTACATGTACTGAACTATGTATAAGTTAATTCAATGTTGAATAAACCCTCATGTAGTTATTGTTTTACATGGTTAACAGCGGCAGCCCTCTGGATCACTCGTCTTCGCTTCTTCCTTGACTGCGTCCGCCTCTCTATTTTTGCCTCATGGCCTCTCGGAATTATGGACTAGTGTAATCCTTATCCATTCGTGAATTCAGCCCCAGCCAGGGTCAGAGGATGATGGCTTGGACCTCTTCTTTTCTAGGCGCCATGCGAAAGATCAGCCAGCCAGATTTAACGACCAAGAAAAGTGGGTACAGATTAAGAGGAGGCCGCAGCA